CTCCCTGCTATTCCAATTTTGTAGCAATATCATGATGGCAATGCAGAGTACTGATAAGGAAGGTAAAACTGAGTCCTCAGCTATTTGGGTCAATGCTTCTTGTATAAAAGGAAATCATAAAAACAACAGTTCTATCAAAAGTTAGGCTCTGATTGCTTACATCTGGACCAGATTGCCTAATTGGTGTCCTCAAAATATGAGGGGCGCCCATAATCCTCCATTAGTATGGCCAGCCCTTTCATAGGCACGACGTTAGGAAAGGCTGTCTAGGCAACTCACTTCAGAGAAAATAATAATCATCTAGTCCTACTAAATTATTTTGCAATTGTTGTAAGCTTTGGCACCACCTTGTGGTAAATAACATTATACATGGGATATAATACAAAAAAAAAAAAATGGAGACATCAAGAGCATGAAGACATAATACTGGGATCCGGATATGGTGTTTATAAACTGCCCTGGTGAATTTACAAATGCACAGACACATCCTTAAATCTGGGAAAGAGCCACAACCAAAAAAGCTACAAAAGGGCTTACCTTGGGAAAATAATACAGACCGCAGGCTGGCCAAATCTTTTTTCAAAAATGAACGTATTTCACTTTATCACATGCGGTTCAACAGATAGCGTTCAAGGGAGCTAGTGCCAATACAAATACAATTTATGAATACCAACAAGTAAAAAGATATATTTTTTTAAAAATCAGCATTACAGTACCAAATAGTTACGTTTAATATGAACAAGACATTTTGTAAAAAAATATATATATTCAAGACAAGAAAAAGGGCCTTGGCTAATATATAAATATAGAGAGAGTGTATTGTATGTGTAATGGAAGGACCTCTAAGATGTGGCTTAGCAGATCTCATTAGAACGTCTTTCCAAAACATGGACACAGCAACTGAAAAAGTCCTCTCTCAAGTCTTCATCAAGTGAATTTCAAAGATTGGAGTGACTCAAAGAAAGACCCCTGAAAGATCTCAAGATTCAGACAGATTTATTTCTGACATGGTCCACAGACCTTTATTAAATTGCTCCTCCTCAGCAGTTTTTAAGCAGCAAATCTTTCAAGGTTTTGACGTAGTTGGTTAATGGAGATACCTACTAGATTAGATATTGACCTGTTAGTTTCCACTAGTCAGCAATTTAAAATGTGCAGCCTCTAAATAACCCTCCCCAAATGCCCACAATGTTCTCAGCTCCCTTATGAACACCAATAACCCTTCCTTTTGTATTTGTGTATGTTGCAGCTACTTCCAAAATCCACAATCAAGGATCAGGGTTTCATATGTTAGTTATTGTACAAACAGATGACATTATTTCCTGCCAGTGCATTTGCTCCCATGGGAACATTTTTGATCTTTGGCCAGTGTTAAGTAGTAAATGGTCAAAGGCCAATTGTTTCCTAAGTTCCTGGCAATCTAATACACATTCACTGATGCTGAGAGAAACAAAGCAGAAGGAAGCTCAGCTATTAAGCATCTCATTCAATTGTGAAGGTCAAGCTTAAATACCACCATATTACTGTGAACAGGTTTGCTAGAAAGAGAGTCAACTGCTCTTGGAACCAGTTCAAGCAAACATACCAATCCTCTTCCCAAAGCCACCCCAGAGAAAGCCAATCCACATTCTTAAGGCATCGCTTTCTTTTGTGTTTGATTTAGCTTTAAATATTGCTACCAGTTGAAAGTTGCTAGATAATTGGATATTTAGAAAATGCATTCAGTTTCCTTCAGCACTGCTTATGGGCAGCTTATAAAAACAAGATAAATATACAAACCAAAACACATCATTACTGCAATATTAAAATACAGTTACAACATGTTTAAATAGTGCATTAAGAAGTCTGGGAAAGTTAAAAAGAAATGTCACCTTAATTCAAAAGACATTAATGTAGGGACATTCCCATCCACCTACACCAGGTCAAGACCTATTTCTGATCAGTCTGCACTTTTGTTTAGATGGCAGGGCCATCCTGAAAACTTACGAAGGTGACACAATCAAGTGCCCAATCAAGTTTATACTAGTGTGCACAGATGCCATATCCCCTTTCACCCTGTTACAAAGAATTGGTTGCATGGCATCTTGTGCATTACTCACATGAAAATAGGTAAGTTCTTTTAAAACCACCTGCATCTGCTCAGGAAAGCAAGCGGATTCAGTTTGTGTTTGTACTATATGCAAAGCCAGGAGCCTAACTAATGACATCACACATTTTACATCTGTTGTGGACAGCTCCAAAACATTAGGATTACCTTGTTATCCAAATCTGAGATACTGTAGTTGCTATTGGAGATTTATGAAAATTGGAATTTAGAACCTACAACAATATTTGGTTAGAAGTAGTACTGGTAACAATATTGTGGTGCAATATGATAGGACTTTTTCACTTAGTACGTACTAAACTATAAAAGTTGTGTTGAGCCATAACACAGTTTGATGTTTAACGTGTTACACAAATCTAGTCACTATTGCTTTAAACCATACTTTGTAGCTTAGTGGCTTATTCAACAAGAGATGGCTTACTGTGATATATGTGAGCCCAGCTAGCATTTGAGTAATCCAAGGAAAGGGAAGTCAACCTTCTATTTACCAATCTTATAGTATAGATCAGTGTTTCTCAACCTTGGGAACTTTCAGATGTGTGGATTTCAACTCCCAGAATTCCTGTGTATGTGAATTCTTTTCCTCATTAGGAATCCTGAGATAGATGTGTAACTCCCCGGGGGGGGGGCCAGGGGGGGCCAGAGAGACAGAGAGAGAGGGAACAAACCAAACCACACAGGACTTTAAACATAAGAATTGGTAATTTGATCTGTGCTCCAGAACAGAATGGTAACAATGGTTAATTAATCTACTTGAACCACATGAGCATAATTGCATACTAGTGGCTGGTTGTATGGCCTTGATTCACAGGCTGCTTTGAAGAGGACAGGTAGGAATCCAACACAATTCCAACTACTTTGTTCATTGCACCCATGTTTAATACAAAATGTCACCTGATCTGGCTAAAGCAAAGGCTTTGAAATCACAGGCTGATCTCAGTTTGTAGCAACAGACTTGTTATAGTAGCACACAGTAGTTATTTTCCCGCTGCAAGATACCCATTTTCTATGCCACCCATTCACAGAAAAATATTTAAGCACCAGGATGTTAGGTGTTCCTCTTTAGATGCATCCTAAGTATCAGAAATATCCTGCCTGCTACAACTCAGTAGCAGTCCCACTGGGTTATACCAAGGATCTATGTAGTCTAACAGCCTGTCTTTCAGAATGGACAGCCTGTTAATTACAGAAAACCATTTATACAGGTACTGTTGAGAAACCCTGTGTGTCTAAACCAAAAATGTTACTAGAGTTATGAAGATTAGTACCAACACTCATATAGCACCACTGTTCATAAAATTAAAAACAAAAGCAAAACTCAGAGCAATATTGTAAACTGTTTTGATTGTTGCTGGCAAGACAGAATAGAAATCAAATACAGTTTTAACAATATCCTGTTCCAACACTCAATGCACAACTATTTCAAGAAGCAAATGCTGGTTAATATTTTATCCTAAAAATTGTTCAGAAATCCACTATTTTATAAAAGGTGCTCATACATTTTATATTTATACTTTAGTGCATCAGTTTTGTGTGGTTTTTGGATAGAGCTTCATTATGGGGTGAAATTACATTGATCCTAAATTATATTTATCCATAAACATCACTGAAAACTTAAGGTGGGATGGAAGAAATCATTACTTTATAAATGAGTATGTGCTTGTAATTTCTTTTTAGAAATTTTATCATTTATATTTTAAGAGCACTTCTTCTAATTTCTTGCTTAATAGGGAACACCTTCAGGTCAGGTGCCCCCAGCCGGTTTTGCTGGTAGAGACATTTGGAATTTTGACATATTTTTTTAGAAACACAGATAATATGGAGGAGAGAGTTTTACAGAATGCCAGCGTTCCATTTTTTAATTCAAATAATTGTTTAGAACTATAAAAAGCCTGGTCTGCAGGGAGCAGTGTTTCTCAACCTCTGCAACTTTAAGATGTGTGGACTTCGGCTCCCAGAATCCCCCAGCCAGTTGCCAAAGTTGAGAAATGCTGCTTTAGACAGTTCTTACTAAGTAATGCAGTATTTTGCAAACTACAACAGTGTATCTAAAACATTAGCTGACACACACCATATAGCTTGCTTAGAGACATTGGTAAAAAGTTATATACCTGTCTAAGTATTTTAATATATGATAATTTACAACACAGTCCTATACACATTAGTTAAAAAATGAATTTAAGAGACCTTTCTTCCAGGGAACCTAGGCCTAGATCAACAGTTTTCATTTCCAGTTCTTGTATATCAACATTTTATCATATTTAATGTTATTGTATATATGCCACTTCTTAGTTTAAAAATCCTGGAACAATTTACAATAGCTATAAAAATACCATACAATAAAAGAAAAGAAAACAAGAACAAATAGGAAAAACAATCCACTTTAAAATAATAAATAGGGGGTGTGAGAAGGGTCAACACAGGAAGATAAATGTTTAAAAGTCCCTCTATTAGGTGACATGGTCCTGAGCTGTTTATGACATTATAAACTACTACAAAGTTGTTAAATCTTGCTCAGTAGTAGACACAGATACTTTGGCCATTGTATTCTGTACTAATTTGTAGCTTCTGGACTGCTCCCAAGGGCAATCCAATGTAGATTATATTACAGTAATCTAATCTGAGGTTACCATTACCTGCATCATCGTGGCCAAGATAACCTTATACAGAAACAAGTACTGTACAGTTGACAGACTGCCCCCAGGTGGTCATAGATGTGCACAGCAGCAATCCAGCCACAATGTTGGTTCAGGAACATTGGTTCCTTCAGGTTGAATGCAATCCCTTCCAGAGTAGCCACCTCCTCTAATTCCCACCCCTAGGAACCACTCACCCACAATACTTCTAATTGGATAAAGCAGGATTATCGTTTTGGTTTATTCTAAATATTAGCAACTTACTTGATGAAAAAAGTAGCTCCCATTAAGGTGGTATCCATCTCCCAGCCTCTAGGCATATCTGAAGAAACAATGACACCATTAACCTATTAGCACTAGAAAACTTTCTGTTTCAAGCTGCTACAGAAACAAAGGTTTTCTGTGGGTTTCATAGGAAATATTTATTTTATTTATACCATGAGTTAGTACTCAAAATGCCCAACACAATATAAAGAGCACAATCCCAAAAAAGTAAACAGCATATTAAAATGGGTGCAAAATGGATTAATACATTACAGCTACATAGTAAGAGCCAAACTGCACATGATGTGAGCCTACATCACTTGTATATGATGTGTAAAAGAAAAAGTAGAAAAGAAAAGCTAATCAGGGTCAGACCTGGCTCCTATTTGGATGTAAAACCACCAAGAAATCCTAGGAGTGTGTGTGTGTATATATGTTAAACCAGAGTCAGACATTGTTTATATGAATGTACATATGTAATCAACTTGACTACTCAGCTTGAGGATGTCTTTATCTAAATACATCACAAGCAATTCTATGCAATATCCACAGTATGTAGAACATTAAGAAGAGATGCATTATAAGGGCAGGAGAATTAGGTGGTAATATATAGTGATCTTAGCCATAAGATCAAGAGCTAAGAACCCATGTATTTTTGGCAGACAGTAATAGTTGCAGTTCTAGTTTAATCTTGGTTGCTGCCTGCAGGCATACACAGATTTGATTCCTTTTTTTCCAGTACACCAGTGGAGGTTTTCTTAAAAGAAGAAATCAAGCTTTTTCTGTCCACCAATCCTTTAGAGAAAATATTAGCTATCAAGGATCTCCCATCCCTTGGGGCTTTGAAAGCTGCCTGGTCAAGTTCAATATCCCATCTCGCTAGAGATACCAGTCTAATCAAATTCACAATCCTTTATCATTTTGACAGTGCCAATAAAATACATCCCCTTAGCCTGATTTGTCCTCTCTATATTATTGCCTGCTCCCTTTCCTTACCTGTTGCCAAGAAGCATTTTATTTGTCACCAGTTGTAACATACAGTACAGAGAAAGAGGAGGGAGAAGGCTGCTCTCTCCAGTCACAGGGGACTGGACCTCAGCTGCACTATGAGAAGGACTCTGATTATTAGGGATTTTTTTTCTAAAAAAACACCTTTTGACTTTGAGATAAGAAAGAAACAAAGCCATACAAGGACAATAGCTTTATTGAAACCAACTAAAATGGACAAAGGCTTGTGCAAGCTTCTGAGTCCTTCAGAAGCTTTCATCAGGATGAATAGGAAAATGAGGAAAGAAATCACATGTTTAAAAATTAGGTCAAAATGTTGTGGCTATGATATCTGCAATTTAAACTTGGTCTGGAGTTTACTGTGAGGATGAATTAGCAATCCTCTGGTTTTTCATATATCCAAATTTACTCTGCATCCAAGAGAGAAAGAAATTGTGGGGAATTTTCTATTTCTGAAAATATGAGGGCTGGCTGTTTCCTGGTTTGGGAAGCTTATAAATGTAATTTGATCAATGGAATAATAAAAATAATGTAACAATTAAAAAAAAAAGGAGTAAGGGTAACTGTCATCTCTGCATCTTAAATGTAGTCTACAAGCAGAATTTGGATTTTGCAGAATCTGTCACACACACACCCCTGCCTCAATTCACACACATACAAATTGCAAACTGAAATCCAGAATGGTATCTTTGCCTGGGCCAGTAGTGTAAACGTAGTTTTCCTGACTTCAAATCAGGTTAACCTATCTCACCTGCAAAAATTTCCTAGGCTATATTCAAGAGCAAACCCTGGTGGGGAGGGGAGATCCATGAGTGAATCCTGGTAGAAAAGTGAGATCCTTGATGAAAGAGGCCTTCCTAAGAACTTTCCTGCTTCCTAATTACAAACCTGATTTTCTGCTATGTGGAATGTTGCATCTCAGGAAATTGCACCTGAAGCCAATTCATCTTCATCTTTTCCCCTCCCAGCACATATGCAGCTTGACTTTCAGAATTACACAGCAAAATACTTTTTTTACTTACTATACTTTGCTTTCTTGGGTAGCAAATTGGTTCTCTCTCTGTCAGCCCTTTGAGGTAGTCCAGCAAGAAGCACCAAGCGTGAGTACTTCTTAATGCTACCTTTATTGTAAGGTTACAATAACAGTATCTTGCAATTCTGAAAGTACCTCTCCTCTCCCTTACTTTTACTCTCCTGAAAACTAGGGAGGGTCCCTTCTAAGATGCTTTTGCCACCCCCAACCCTCCTTTGGACTCAGATTTCATTTATCAGACCATGGTCTAGGCTGTAGCTCTTCCTCCTATCTCCCAAGGTCATTCCCACATACCATTACATTCCAGATGTGAAGGTACTGCAAAGTCCAGAATGCTCAAGGTATTTCCAGTTCTTATCTGGAAGATGCCAATTCAAGGAGGACAGTTAATCAAAAGAAGCATTCAGTTAATATCTTGTTTAAAATACTAGCAGATGTTCATCCCACTCCAGAGTCTAGACCAGTGTTTTTTAACCTCGGCAACTTGAAGATGTATGGACTTCAATTCCCAGAATTCCCCAGCCAGGAGTTGAAGTCCACACATCTTCAAGCTGCCAAGATTGAGAAACACTGGTCTAGACAGAAGCTTCACCCAGCCTTGATCCTATACTGTTTCTTATCACAGAGATTGTACACAGCTCATTTATGGGAGTAGTGTAAGCTGATCCCACTGGGAGACTTGCTTTTAGAGGGAGATGTTCTGAAATAAGCTGGTCTTGATTAGGTTTTGGATGTTTTCTTCAACTTATCTCTGGGCTGCTCTGGAAATAAACTTCAAGACTGCAATGCCTAGCACTCTGTGTACATCCCTGAGCACAGCAGACCTTTAAAATAAATGTGTATAGAATTTTACTGTAGATTATGACTTTTCCAGTGGGACTGCATCACTGCACGTGGCCATCAGGGATTTGGGAGGTGGGTAGTTTCTTCAGATTTCCAAATTTACTGGGTGATCCAGAACCAAATGTTCTTCTCTCAAGCAACTCACATAACACGGTTCTTATGAAAATAAGGGAGAAGGAAAAACCATGTACCTAGCTTGAGTTCCTTGAAGGACAGTAGCTGCACAGAGAGAAAAGGGACCAGATGGTAAGAATGATCACATTAGGTTTCCCAATTCATATCTACTGAATCTATCTTTCCTTCAACTGGATGGTAAAACTGAACGCAGAATCCATCTTCACATCCATATCTGCAAGTTTTGTACTCAGATGCTCCACAGAGACTAGAAATCTTTAAGAAATCTTTATCTGCCATCAGCTTCATCTCATATCTCTTTGCTCTTATAACATGAACTCTATATACTCAGTTCCAGACACTGAAGAAGACTTAAAATGTTTGTCATTGCAAGGTATTTCAAAGGTCATGGAAACATTTGTTTCCATTTGTGAATGGAATGTGTATTTTAAACATACTATCTAGCTCCGCTTAGTACATTCAATGCTAAAAAAACAAAGTTGATATTGCCCAATACATTTTTTAAAAAACTGAAAAATCTTACAATTTTTTGTATAAACATATAGATTTCAATCCTAAAATCCCAAACATATTATTTTCCTCAGATCATGCTGCTACTGTGGACAGCTGTGCAATCCTGCAAAAACATGCAAAGCCAAGGAGCTGCAGATGGGCGCTACAAGAACGCTCCCACCTTTTCAAAGCATCTTTTTGCCTTCAGATCTGAAATGCTGCACAGCCTTATTGTGTAGCCTGCCATAACCCCAAATTCTTACAAACTTAGTACAGAGTAAAGTGGCTGGCAAAGTTCAAAGTATGAGGCGCTGTCCAACACTGAAGATTTGAACATGAAAAAAAAAATAATGTGATACGTTGGAATAGTAAGGTGCAAACTCCTGCTGCTTGGATAAAAAAGTGTGCCTAATAAAACTTTTATATAAAAGGGATAACAAGACAATGATTTTGGTTACTTGACTTGCCTCTATACTGTGATTCTTATAGCTCTAGCTGGTCTACTTTCATTCTCTTTTTTCAGGCAGAATGTTCTGGTGTTCTATTGTGGTTAAATATTTCTATCATCTCCAAGATTCTCAGATTAGTATCGATCTGAGATGTGACAACTCCAATCCCCCAGTTTGACTCCCTGGCTGGCATGTGGATTACAGGAGTTGGTTAAGTGGGACAAAATGGACACTGAATACCTTCAAATGGCTGCTTATCACCAAGATGACTTCTCTGGAAAATATAACTTAATAATTTAAATGGGACTTCAAATACCACCATGAAAGATATTCTACTTGTTCCTATGAGCTTCATACATTCCTCATTCAAAGCAAAAATCTTTATATCTCAATATTGTGCAAATTTCCTAAAACAACGTTGTATTAAATTCCCTGGGGCACCACTAGGTAGACCTCAGAAGTTCCATAAATATAAACACAGAGATAGAGAGAATTTATGGAACAGTAGTATAAACATTGGAGCATTAGGGTTACATTTGCCCTAGTCTAATTTCAAAAACTCTGGTCTAGTAATCACTTCAGACTTCTGAGCAAAAGAAGTCTCTTCTTTGGCAGCCTGTGATGAGGAAGCAAGGAAGAGAAGTGAGGAAAAACCAGGTATCAGAAGGAAAGAGAAAAAGAAATGGAGGATGAAAATGAAAAAGGAGGATATCAGAAACAGACAGAATGGATGGCCTTGCCCAATGCTTGGCCTTCTTCACTATTCACTGGTAACTGATGAGGCCTGCAACAGATAATATTGTAGGAGGATGACCATCAACAGAGAAAGATTATAGATCCCTATTACACAGCATAAAAACTTAGTATCAACCAAAAGAATATTGGTCAGTTGAGCCTGATATTCACACATGACTTTTGGAAATTCTATCGAATTCTGTCCTCATCCAGAGCATTTCCCAACATGGAGCTTCCCCTTAATCTCCCAGTCATCCATGGCTGGGGAAAAGGTATCTGAAGAGCAACACATCTGTATGACACTAGAGTGAAACAAGTCAAGAGATGTTCTATTATGAGCAGCAAGAGAGGAAACCTGTGCAACAGCAAAAATCAGCTGTTATTATAATGAATGCAGTGGTAATAAAAGGCCTAGTTTTCTTCTTACCTGGCCAGGTAAAGTGCCCACTCTGGATAGGATAGCCAGTGCCTGGATGTGTCCAGCAAGTAGATTTCGTTTCATCACTATAAGTAAGTCCAAACAAAATATATAAAATTTATGGAATATCGTCATTTTAAGACATACACTATTTAAGGATCAAGGACAATTGTTCTCCATCTTAGCACAGTATGCTTACGGCTAACTTTGTTGTGGTGCCAGAACAAGGGTTATACCAGCTATACATCATAAATCCCTTTTAAATCTTGCCACTTTTGCCAAAGGCCTATATCACAGACCGGTACTGTGGCAGGCAGCAGAACATCAACAGGGTGAAAAGCTATACATATGTGCACGCACGCACAAACACACACACCCCTCATTCTCCAAATGTGTGTTCTCCAAAAGTGTGGCAAAAACAGGACCATCTAGACTCAGGGAATCCCAAGGTTTGAAGAACTGCTAACAGTATCTTTAAGGAAGAGAAAGTAAGATGCCCAACTGATGATAGTTGAGCAATCTCACAGGGCACAGAAAATCAGAAGAGAAATTAGTCAAATGGAGTATTCTGTAGATCAGGTTAAAAATATTCATGTAGCAAACATCAAATCGCACTTCTTCACTGAGGAACAATACAAGAACTCCATACAAATAAAAACCCAAACTACAAGACAGAACAATGTTCAACATAGGCATCCCCAATACCTATTTGAAAAGCCAAGTTTAATAGCCTTTCAAAATTCAGCAAGGTTGGAGCCCTCTAATTCTGATGTGGGGAACAGAAACTGAGGGAAAAAATGCTAAAACCATTTCATGAATTATAAGAAGTAAGATTTGAAATGGCAATTTCCTGATTTACCGCTGAGCTTCTTAGGTTACAATCCTATAGCCAATCAGGGACAAAACCCCATGGAAATCAGCAGAATTTACTTCTACTCAAACAGGTATAGGATAGTATTGTTAGTCGCTATTTGGCACTAGCTTGGTAGAAAAGAAACAGCAGCAGGTTCAGCAAACCAGATAAGGAACTTTTCACAACTAGGCTAATACTACTTTTTTTAAAAAAAGTAGGTTGCTTAGGAATACTGGTAGGGCAGAATAAAAAACAGAAGAGCCATTATCAGACAAAAAAATTATTTCAGATTATATAAACAAAAGATAAAATCTACTTTCAGGTTGCCTGCCTAAGGACACATGCAGACAGGTTCCTTAAACTTAGTTCTAAGTAAACCATATATAAAAATCCCCCGAGATCTTTCATGCCTTGCTGTAGATTTCAATCGAGTTCTTCTCTTTTGGAAAGAGATCCTGGTTTTTCACATTATATTTCCACATATATGCATCCCATTGGCACCCAAGAGGCAACCTAGAAGCATAGGTACTGAAAGAAATAATATGAGAGTCTGTTGAGCTATTTCCAGCTCAATCTTCCTTTACAGCCTGAAAAACTACAGGAAAACAACAACAACAAAGCACAAACCAAACCTACTTGATAAAGAAGATTCTCCCGTCACCGCAAACTCCATAGGTCCACTTGCCAGGCAGATCAAGCCAGTCAATGTCCTCAGTGGCCATCAGTCCCTTCCACTGCAAATGCCACCAAGAAAGGGGAGGGGGAGGCCACAACTGTCCCTCTCTCTCCTCAGCTTATGTTTACCTGCCTCCCACCCCCTCCTGCTTTAAGCAGAAAGGGTGCACGGCGGTAAAACTGAACCCACTTGAGTCAGTCCTACCAGAAGGCAGGTAGGTCAGCCTTTCCTCAGAAACTCGGTTTCACTGCAAATAGCCCAGGAGGAAGGAAAAACACAGCACCTGCTTAACCCTTTTGAGGCCCGGTGGCTGTTCTTTCATTTAAAAGCTGGCAGACAGAGGATCCCTTCCAGCAGCTACACAAAACAAAACAAAACAAAACAAAAAGTCTGCAGGAGTCTCCAGAACACAATATACTTCCTCTGCTGCCTACCATTCAGTCTAATTGCCACAACTTAACTGGGTGAGAAGAAAAGCAGTTTTGTCTGGCTTCTTTCTCCTTATTAATTAAGTTCCAGTGTCTACATTTCTCACCTTGAGGAAAGGAGGTATTTCACTTTCATGCTCACTCTAGTCCTCAATTAAAGCTTATTCACCAGGCAAGGTGGGGTTTAAGGCTCATTCCCCTACCCAGAAGAAAGAGGTCATAAAGGCTTGCTCATCATCGATGATAGGTTTTCACGTTCCTTTATCACATCAGAGAAGGGTAAAAGACAGCTTGCCACATTTAATCCAGGAAAAGAAGAAGTCTGTGCCCAAGCAAAGCAAAGTTGACCAAGCCAGACTTCATTTCTCTTTAATTAAGCATTCCCCCAAATCCTCAGATGTTCCATTTTAATTGGTCAAACTATTGGCTACTGAAGATAATGTCCAGTAAGACACATAGGGATGAAAAGAAAGATTTACTTGTTTTGTTTTTAACTTGAACCTAATGATAGGATCAGAGCTTAGACATCGTCAACTCCTCCAGGTATTGCTGTAGATATAACAATTTCATTCCTAGCTGTATTCACCAGATTTAGGAAATAAAGTACAATTCTGTAATAATATTCAGCAGATCGACATTAAATGAAGGATGCTTCCATATGATTTTTCTACTACATTCTTCCTTTTCTGCTGTAAACTATAGCAATTGATTTTCCATGCTTCAGAACAGGTTCACACATCATTTTAATTCATTATATGGTTTATTTGGTTGTTGGCTTAGTGTATTATGTGCACCCAGCTATTGTGATTGGTAAATCATGGGTGATGGCTTACTATAAAGGATGAACATCAGCCATTATGTCTTATTCCATAAATCATGGTTAAATCAAACCATAGCTTATTGTGGTATGTGAAGCCAATTCCTCAGTGTCAAATTTCTACTCAATTTCCCTTTGAAATGTTTTCATTGAGGAGTGGACATTTTATAGAAGAAATTTTATAACTCACCTTCAATTGAAATGCTGTTGTGTTCAGAGTTCTGGTTTTTTAAAACATTCCATTAATTATCTTGCAGAACGTAATTTGTTTGGAGTGTATACTGTTCGACTTTTTCTCCCTGGCACTTTCCTGCTGTATTGGAACTGTAACTCCCAGAATTGTCAGGCAACATGGATGGCTCAAAATCCTGGAAGATATAGCCCCAGCATAAGCAGAGTCTGCCAGTTTCTGGGTGTCTGAGCTATATAAATTAGTTTAGTTAGTCAATCTTTTTACTGGCTAAGGGCCACATTTTACTGGGTGTATGTATGTATAAGGGCTGTAGGGAATAGGTCTAAATGAGTGATGCCTCATCACACATATAAATGGGAATGAGATTTTTTTCCCCATCTGATAGCTGATTTGGGTTGTTTTTTTTTCCAACTGTATCATGCCAATTTTAAGGCTTAGTCTATAATTTTAATTGTTTCCATGTACTTCAAAATGATAGGAAACTGACATCAATGTTCATAAATCAGTCAGATTGATTTAGGGACTGTCCAGCTCAGATATATATGGTAAAATTGCAGGCATGTGTTTGTATACATAATGAGAAGGCACATGAATATGTATGGAGGGCCTACAAAAGAAATATAGTCGTTTATAAGCGCTTTAGTTTTCTCTAGTTTTGTTGTTGTGAATAAAAGGATGTCTTAGACAAGGCAATGACAGAACAGTAATGAAATATTCCAATATTCTAAAAAATGCCACGCACTGTAAACAAAGGTTATTAACCATGTGATGTTAATTTACTGACTTTTTACTAATGTGCCGTTTCTGATCGACAAATCAGATAGCTTGGTTAGCTGAACTGTTCTAATTTTAGATCAAGATTATAAACTTACAGATCTTAAAATGTGTATATATTGGCCAAAAATTATTCTGACAGCTAGAGAGATGGGTACCTATGTATCAATATTCCTCACGTATAAGCCATTGGGAATACTATACTGGAAGATAGATGACTAGATGAATCCCTGTTGTATGAATTCTGAGGGAGCATTGTTCAAGTAGATTATTGTAGGCTAGGTTCTAACTTTGGATCTTCATCTCAGCCCCTACTGAGGCTCACTGAAGCGGATTGTAAATAAGTATCAGCTTATCATGCAAAACCAGAGTGGGAAGGATCTTTTTACCAAAACATAGAGTAATGGCCTTGTGTTATTTTCCTGTTTCCTGCTAGAACGGTTCTAGCCACTTTGATTGCTTTACACTAAAATAACGCAGTTTTAAGTGTTTGTCACTGCTTTAAGAACTGAAGCAAATACAATTATACTGTAAGGTAATGGTTCATGTGGCAAACTCCTGATCAGCCTTTCCAACTTGTATCTCCTGACGTACTGGACTAAGAAGGTCCAACAACACAGCCCATTCTAGCGGGGGATTCTGGAAGCTGGTCTGTGTTACCTGGAGGGTACTACATAGGTTGGGGAAGGCAGAACCAGATGGCAGCAGGAAGCGTTCATTCACTTAGTCATTCATAGAATCATAGAAAGTTAAAAACATAAAAATAATAGAAACAGCCAAAGATAAAAATAAAAGATAACATTTAAGATAGATGTAGACATTTATAGCGGTCAGGGTGTTTACACATACTTGCCCACCCTTTTCTCAGTTTGGTTTTCTGGGCTTGCCATAACATGATAAACCATAGATGAACCACACTGGCTGGGTTCATATAACACACTAAGCTAAAGTGTGGTTAGCTAGTTGGTGGCTCAGTATGTCTCACAGATACAAGAGAACCATATTATCATGCTTAGAAAGCAAACTGTGGCATTATGTATTCGAGCTGATTAACAATGGGGTGAAAGTTATTATCAAAGGCCTCTCTTTCTTCAGTCCTTGTGATAGAGATAAGGATCTCAAAGAAGGGAAGAGAGGGCCTGTGGCACTATTGTTTTAGCCACAAATTTGTAAGTTTATAGTGGAAACACATGAGTACTGAACAGTAACACAGATTTAAAGAAACCAGCTTGAGAGTCACAATGAAAAGTGTAGCAGCAATGTTGTGTGAAATATTGCTGTACCACATTTCCATCTCCAAAGTTGCCAGACTATTTTCCAAAGATTAGGAATGCAGTGTTGTTTCTTCAGGAAGCATAGGATGATCCAGAGATAGAAATGCTGAAAGCAGGGGTCAGAAATTGTGCCTTAATGTAGCTGGTCATTGAAACTGGGATCACATCACACACAATGTTTAGTTTCATAGTGGGAACCTTCAGCCACTAAGGAGTTAACTTCTTTTCCTTGGCAAGCGATGGGAGATTAAGTGCTGAGGGCAAAGCAACTGAAGGCAGGGTGGACTGAAAACAGAACAAACTGAAGTACAAACAACTCTGCGCTAGAAGTGCTGTATTTTCTCAGCTGAGAGACAAACCTGTAAAGATGATTATTTGGAAGTAGAGTCTATAAGAGTGGTTTACTTTTCTTCATCTGTCCATTGTCTTTGCCTGAAAAGAAATCGCTGAACTGAGTTTCCAGTACCTACTTTGAGTATCATCATGCATGTTGCATTTCATTATTTCGTTTTCTCTAGTGACCTGCTCATTGAGAACTAGTCATTTATTTGATGTTTTCTTGCCTCAGCTGGTTCAAAACTCTTACAGGAAGAGATTTTTGTTTAGTAAAAACCAGAAACACCAGGGATAATGTGAACTTTAATATGAAACAGGCAGGGACAGTATACCAACCTGGAAGAAAATAGCTGCATCAGAAGACACATCTTGAAACTCCTGGGTGGCATCCAGCCAGCAAAAAGGGCTTGCTTTGCTGGAAAGCTCAGAAGAGTGGAGCACGAGAAGGAAGAGCCAAGGTTCAACTAGTCATTTATTTATGGTTTATTAAACTGGATTTGCACAGTAATCTATGTCATAAAGCATTATTTACAAACTGTAATGCTGGCTTCACAAGGCATTAAAAAAAAAACTCATCATGCTTTTCGGGATGTTGTGTGAATCCAGCGACTGTTTTCTAGATATTTCAAACTGCGACTATTGTTTGTTAACAAATACTGTGCATCCTAAAGCTCAGATTACAAAAGAAAGGGATAATGAGCTGTGCTGAAACCACAGATGCTGTGGTTCACAAATCACAATTGCAGGTTTCACACAATAGACAAAATCAAACCTCATTATGGCATAACAACTTGGGTGACCCTATCTGGGAACGTTAATCACCAAGACGGATTTGAGGTATTGGAATAGGTGGAATTCTGCCATCTACTTCTTTAGTTTTCAACTGCCATTCAAAGAACTGATTACATCTACCGAAAAAAGAGGTAGAACACTCATATTTAATTCACCAACCTTGTTTTATCAGAAAGGTTAAAGCACACATAGAAAAATTAGTGCATGATAATGCTATTTAGCATTTTGGCATTGTTTTCTTTCATTTTTCACAGCCACATAGGTGGATTTCAAATAAACACTGGCAGCCAAGGCAACCATTTTAAAACAAAATGTACAACCCTCCCATTTTTTAATGAAACTCACCAAATTGTGCTATTGCCATTTTGTGGGCAGAACCATTTTGTTTTAGAATATTCACGACTGTTACTCAGTCTAGTTTCTAACCTCACAATGTTTTCTGAATAAAAACAAGTGCTAATAAAACGTGTAAACAGCAATGATGTAGCCTGTTGTTTTATTTTAAAATGCAGAATAACTGACTGCTAAATAAAATTGCTACATTTTCAATTAATCTAGCTTGCATAGAGGAAGGTAACTAGTAGGGAAACACATATTTGGCATGCAGAAGATAAAAGGAAAATTAAATGAGAAATAATCTAGAAGTTGGTTCCACCCAGGCTAGACTGGTCCCTGATCTTCCTCAAATGTCTGTGATACGGCCATTTGGGATTGTGGTCTTTATTATGAGAAACATATTCCCTGATGAAATAGATAAATCCCCAAGTTTTAGTGTATCTTAAACTATAACTGCATCAAATTTCAGCTTCTAGGAGAGCTTGGAAGTTTTAAGCATTTGGAGGCATGTTTTTTGACTCACTTTAGCAGAAACTAAAACCCTATTTTGAGTACCTTATTCGGCTTATATATACTGTACATGAAATATTTAGAGTTTATATTTATGAAATTTATCTGACTGCCAGAAACCAACTGAATTCTAGGCAGCTTGCCAAATTTGCATAATAAAAACAGGATAAGGTCAAAATAATGCAATCAACCCCTAAGGCCTTCTAGAAGAGCCATTTTTTCACCTGCTTCTGGAAAACCATAAGGGTGGGGCTATTCTACTTCAGTGGGCAAGCTACTCCAGAGGGAAGCTACTAGAGAAAATGGCTGTCATTGGCCTCTTTCACACCAAGTCCCTGGTAGCTGGGATTAGCAAGCGCTCCTTTTGTCTAGGTAGGCCAGGCAGAAAGTGTTGGGGAAAGGCAGTCCCTAAGGACTCAGGTCTGAAACTATATAGGGTTCAATAGGTAGCAAACAGGATCTTAAATTGCTCTTAAAAACACACTTGTAATCAGTGCAGCTCACTTAGCAGAGGAATGGTGTAGCAGTATCACTACCGACCATTTCTGGAATGCCAGGCTTAATTTCGTTCAGAAGAAATCAGTAGAGACTTATGGTGTTTCTGTGAAATGTGTATTAATTGAAGATAGAAGCTGCCATTAAGATTCCAACAAATTCCTATCCATTATCAAATGTCATCAACTCCAGGGTCTTCTCTTATGAAGAATCATGCCAGTTCTTGTAGGAAAGAAAAATGGACAGAATAGATTTGCTTGCTTTTTTAGTTAGCATGTCTGGAATGTTGGGGTGGGGGGGAGAATCTTGACCACTAGCTATCTCCCCCTCACTGCAAAGTACCAGGGTTGCTGGCCATAACCCCCGCTTCTTGGATTGTTAAAGCACAACCATAGCTACAGCTATGTTGATAGCAACACTTACATTTCAAAATGTATGACAGGGCTGCTGAATCTATGGCCCTTCAGATGTTGCTGGACCTGGAGGCAATGTCTCCCAGATTTCTAGGAAAAAGAAATTCTGTAGGGTTATACTAATCTTTTACTCTCATGTGCACACATACACACACCATTCTTGATCATTATTCTTGGAATCTAAAACTGAAGAGTTATCAAAATCATTAAGAAAAAAGAAAACAAACCTTATTGGCCTTGCATAATTTCTGCAATTTTTGTACCACCTTGGTTTCATAACCTGTATCAACTGAACTAAAAGAAAAAAAGTCAGTTAATATTTCATTGAAGTGTTAGAAATAATGCAATTATTCAGAAATAAATAAAAGCTGAATAGGCAGATGAACAGCCAACATTCAGAGGAGTTATCTACTTTCCCATATTACTGTTAATATTTTTATTCATTAACCCTCTTACATAGCCATTTTACTGTACACTTACAAGTCTTCCATAAGTCACACTAGTTCAGAATTTGTATTCCTGTTGGGATGTGGCTTACCCCTTCCCTCCCCCTTAATTGTTCTCTTCTACTTTCCTCCCTGATCTCCCACAGAAAAAGGAAGATTTAAATTTTACCTGGAGGATTGAACTTCTAACAACTAGTGAAGTAGGAAAGCAAACTGTACGTCAACAAATGTAAAAGAACCCATGTGTAAAATAGAGATTTCCAACCTTCTGGAGATAATCCAATTGTATTAGAAAAGGAAACCTTCTATTATCTGAAAATAATATTTTGCTAATGTGTTTTTTGGGGAGAGGTGGTAAAACATTGATATGAATACATGGATAACACATGCATAAATAGCATTTGACAAGTTATTAGAAGCATGTATATTTTGCTTTTGCACAACTGCATCACAGAAGAAATCTGATGTTGAATGCAGAACACATCTTAAACAACTGCAGTTTTTTTTCCAAGTTTTTACTCTGATATGAGAAGGGACAGTGACTGTGACCATCAGTCCCTGGATGTGCTGTTATGCGACACGCTTCTGTACTGACATTTTTGTACCATATTGAACCAGAGCATTTGCTACAAGAAATATGAGAGCTTAGTTCCCTAATCATGGTAACAATCCACTTTTGAAAACAGTCTACAATGTTGTCTATAATTGAAAGGAAACATGTATTTATATTTATTCTGTAAACTACAAACTCCTTCAACCAATGTAGAAGGAATCAAGAGAATTATTTCTAAATTTCATTGATTTCAAAATTTAATAGTATTCCCCTCCCACAATTTAGTTTTTCTAGGGAATAAAGACTCAGGACAGATTAAGAGCAGTAAAACATGAGTAGACTTTTTTTAAAGTCTGGAAAAATTAGATCTCCAATTGAATGCATTTCATTCGTACTTAATAATTCCTAAACTAATAAACTAACCAGAACACTGACAATTGTATTTTTTCAAATTTTGCAATCCATAGGAGTGCACAGAAATACATAAAAGTTGGAGAAATGTGTATGAGAACACATAAAATTCCATGGATCAAATGTAGGATTGGAAAAAATAAAAATGGTTTAATTCCATTTTCACCTTCCTGCCTATTTTGTGAATATTTGCCGTGTCAACACTGAGTTGTACTGTTTTTTTGCTATTGACTCGTTAAACAACTTGTACTTATGCAATGATTATTATGGAAAATAATTATATTGAGACTGCAGAGCATAACAAGGAGAAAAAAACCCTACATAAATACATTGATGTGGTGTCATCCTAGCTGGACATGATGTCAATCTTTACTGTAACAATTTTCATACATCGAAACAAAAAGAGTACTAACTCAAAGCCATTTGTAGCATTCACTTTCTATCCAATTTATTAACTGAAGCAAGTGTTTCAGGACTGCCAACGTTTTTAAATCTAAGTATTTCAAACTTTTATTGTATTGCGCCTGCTACTTTAAACTCTTTTGTCAGTTTACGTGTATACACCAGGAATAGATCCAAGAGGATGAGAAATTCATTCTAGCACCACCTTTTAGGGCAACCTTGAATAAAATGAATTCCATATAACTGATTTGGTGCCATCCTGATGGCACCTTAGCAACTCCAGGTATTTAGTAAAGGCAAATTATAAAAGCATTGCAGAGCTCTAAAACTACTGAAGAATACTCCATTTATTTTAAGAGCTACACCCCAATACCATGGCAGCACAATCTTTCAGACAGTTTAAACATGTAAAGTTTCTTTATTACAATTTATAAGTTTTAAAGTGTTTTATTACATACAGAAATGTTTAAATATAAAAAAAACCCAATGGAATACAATCAAATCCTTTTAAGCCTGTATATATGAAAAGTTTTCTGTCTCTTTTTTTGCCTTTCTAAAATAATATAAAAATAAAATTCTGATAATTACAGTTTTGATTTAAAGTTTTAGAATTAGTTTTTCATGTCTCACTACTTAAATAAATTTGTAAAGACATCCTTTATTGCCACATGTAGCACCATTAAATCATTCTAGAGAGAGAAAAACATAAAAATGAATGAATTTTATTTCAGGAATCTGCACTCATTTTAAATGGCTTCAGACTAAGAAACAGAATCATTATTCCTCCCAGTAGTCGGCAACTGACCAATAAAAGACAATACTTAAAACAGTATCAAGGTAGAAAAATGTTTTGTCCTCTGTGGCTTTATCTTATGTGTGTTTATACAGAAGCCAAGTTCCAAGTACACAGATTTGTAGATACACTGGAACTGCCCCAGATAGCTCAATGAAATTTTACAGCAGTGCTTCAAGGGTAACTTTTTCAGAATGCATCAAGTATTCCATACATCAATTCTCTAGACTATTATATCTCAACACATACTTTTGTGTTATACAGAAACTATTTATTCTATTAGAATTTACCTGGACTAAAGCACACAGCATTTGTAGTTATAACAAACTACTGTACAAATATGAAGTCAGTGAAACTTAAGATAGAAAAAAGTAAAGTCATTTATTATGATTTGTGTTAAGGACATATTGCAACAATGCATGTTACTGGTATTTCTTGCTGCTTTCAGGAGTGGCACATCTAAAACTAAACAATGTTAATCTACTGTATTTATCCCAATAATTCTGAATACTGGATTTAGAGCTGCTTACCTAGGCCATTTAAATCACTATTTGGAATCCATACAAGATTCTAAAAATGTTTTAGGTAATCCAAACATGTATTCTAACCAAATACGTAACAATAATGATTAAGAATAGATTATTGCGTTAAGAATATTTCTAGAACTCTTAGAAATTGTTAAATTGCTATATGAACAATTATATTCATACTGATTAGTTTGGTAAGCTTTGTAACCAATCAACATTAGAAATCTTGAATTCTATTATTTTTTTCTCCATAAATTTGAAGTATCTGGAACAGACTGCAAACAAATCAATATATTTTAATATTTTCCTTACCACAGTGTTTACTGAGGACAGATTTCTTCTGAAATAATAAACAGAACTGCTCCAAAATTTTGGTGATCTATCCACAGAAGTGGAATGCTGTATCTATTAGATTGGTATAATGACAAAAGTGAAGAAGAATATACTACTAACCACCTTACTGGCAGTTTAAACTGGGGTTCCTGCCATTAACAGTCCAATACTGTTTGCAATTTTACTGTAAAATACACAGCATTCTATTGCAACTAAGTAAAAATCTCTACAAACATAAAGAGACTTTTATGCAGAAAAAAGAATTCAGCTAAAATCAATATAAGAGAAAGACCAATGAGAAGTAGGCAGCATTACTGTGTAAATTCATTTCAATTTCAATTCATTTCAATTTTCTATTATACACAAATATAAGAACAGGCTGCAATTTACAAACTTTAAATCAGAACTGCATTGTTGGGTTCCAAACCCAATAAATATACTTGCAAAATATTTTTCCTTTTAAAAAGTGCAAAATTCCACACATTTCTTTGTTCACATATATATTATGTGAATGAGACAGAATACACACACAAATGCACAAGGAGGCATTTCTGATTGGCTTTTGCAAAAATAGATACACTCATCATTAGAAAGGACCAATTATGCACATGCTGGATATTCAAAAGACTTGTTTCAACACTGCATCCAGCCTATATAGCATATTTGTTGGCAGAGAATGAGACATAGTATTAAAATTACCCCAGTTCCCAGTTTTATATTATTAGAGGCAGCTGTCATTTTAATAGATGTCTTGGAAGATGGTCATAAGCATCATTAAAGGTATTACCCTGGATAATTAATAAGGTGTTAAAAAATAACAGGTCTTTCATAACACATTTCCTGGAATCTATTACGAATACGCTGCCTGTGCTCTACTGTTAAGCAATATCCAATTGCATCTTCAGTCTCCTGAATTCGTTTATGGAATCGGCATCCATCACGTGCAAGCTCTTCCCAAGGTCCTTTGCGATCTTCCTCATTGCTTACATAATACTCAGTAACTTCTTCAAGGAAAGTCACCTATGAAAAGTATAAAGTTAGATCAAATTATCAGATATTTACATGACACTCAGTTTTATAATACATTTGATGTCAAAACCAAAACTTAAATATAAATGTATGTCTATCATTTGGGAGAAGGAAAGAATGTGTTTTTAACTCTACTATAAGTAAGAAATTCCCTTGTGGAAAAGATTCCTTTGTAAAATATATATTTAACTTGGTGTTTATGTTGTGGTACAATCCAATATTTACAGAAGAGATCAGAAGATCCAGATTTAAAAGTTATAATAGTAACTATGACTGGTTTTTAGTAAAGTTTCCTTCAAAGTAAACTCAGTTCTTGTGACTTAAAGAAACATATTCAGATATCTTAATATGATACATAAATAATCTGCTATTGTTTTCTTGCTAAGTTAGCCTATGTTAGTATATTTAATAACATTTCCTGTATGGAAACTTTTCACATAAAGAAAATTGGGTGTGTCTGAATGTACACTTTGATATGTTATGAATTTTTCTTAACTATGTATTGCTAATTGTTCCTAAATGAGCTTTTCTACTGGGAACATAGAGATGATCTTGAATTTTGTTGCTTCTTCCATGTTAAGCTCAAATGTGTCAGACTGATTTATAAAAGCATGTATGCATTACCTTTTGCTTGTAAAAAGAATGCTCAAACAGTTTATAGCAATTACCGTTCAATAAATTAGCCACTTAAAGAACCAGGATAAAGTATATTAAAGTACTGTACCTTCAAAATGTTAAAGCAGTAAAAACCTAACAAAGAATTATCTTAACTCCTCTCCCTTCCCTCAGTAGAACACAGAGTTTGCAGTCATCAGTTGTAAACTAGAATACTTTTTACCTTAACAGCAATCTTTCTCACCTGCTCCTTTTGTGATAAAGTCAAAAGCTTGTGTGTGTGTGTGTGTGTGTGTGTGAGATTAAGTGGCCCTAATAAAAAAAACTGTTGTATATGACATGGCATTTTTAATGTATTATTAGGGTTACACATAAAATCATTCGACTGCAAGATAGTACCTTCATACAAAATGATAGTTACATCAGCTTCTCCCTCTGTGCCTTATCCTTTCTCGCCTTTTACATCATTCTACAGTTCTCTCTAGGGCACCATTACCAGGTCATGTAATATTATGCTATATATTGCATACAGATCTTTGTTAATTTTTTGTGTCACTAGAAAGATACACAAGGGATTTGAAATTTGTTTTGAAAGTAGTCACTGAATGATTTACAGGGAAGGTTAATCTAAAATACACAATTTTATATGTCTAGGAATTTCTGAAAACACATGCTATTTTACTGCTTCTTTATTCCATGTAGATCTAGACAATATAAATTATATGCATTTTACCTAACCAAAAGGCAAAGCTAAAAATGGCAAAAAATGCTAACATGTCATTAGATTAGGATACAACATTCATAAGACACGTCTATCAACCGAGGGAACACAGCCTTCTACAGGCAGTGCACCATAAATTGGCCATATACACTTAAATTAGGAGCAGTGAATCATTAACCTTATTTTCTTTATAGTAACTCACTATTCTGCTTCATAAAAGCTAGTGCAAATTAGTGGTTAACACAGGAATAACATGTTTTGGAATAATTCAGGTCATTCCCAACAGTTGCCATGCCAGCTAGAGCATATGGTAGTCATAGTTCAAAACATGTGGCAGACACCAGATTGTCTACATCTGGGTAAGAGTGTCTAATTAATATGTCTGTATATAAAAGCATATTTAAATCCCCTCAGACATGAAGCTCACTGGATGCCCTCTGACCAATCACCATCTCTAAGCCTAACTTAGTTCATGTTTACTGTGAGAATAAAATTGAATGGAAATGAGGTGAAATTTTGTACTACTTTGAGGTTAAGAGGAATATAAATATAGTAATAAAAAGTAGATCCCTTGTGTTAAAATCATAATACTCTATTACACATGCTGTCATTTTTTTCTCTTCAGAAAAGACAAGCATTGCCATAAACATATTAATTTCGAAGACAATTATACATCAGATAAAAAAATACTATGTGTATACTTTCTAAATGGAAGCTGTTTTAGATTAAGTATATCATGTCTCACAAAAACAACCCTATGTCTATATGACAGCACTGAAATTATTTATCCTACTACAACTATATGAATTTCCATGCCATTTTCAGAGCAAACCCCCACTACAGACAACTGCAGAATATTCTATTTCAAATATGAGTAATACAATTAAATGCTGTTTTGAAAAATCCAAAAGTCATCCTAGGGATTTCATGTGTTCAACCACAAAGAACATTAAGCACCGTATCTGGTCATTGCTATATGAAATGGAGTTACAAACAGCAAGCAGCTGCTGAAAAACATACAAACTTGCACTAGATGGTACTACTTCCAGTTTAGTGCCACATCAGCTGAGAAGGAAAGGGGGAAGAGAGACAATGTCTTAATACAGCCTCAGAAAAAGCAAAGTGGCTGAATTGTGATTTTGTGCTAGAAAAAGCTGTACATTCTAGAGGATGCATGACACAGTTCCCATTAATCACATGTAATTCAGAGTCTGACCGTTATTGCATTAAATGTCTCATTCTTATTAAATCAACAAAATAAAAAAAAGGGAATACCTGAAATACAAGGAATGTTCTTAAGAGAATATGAAAGGAAAACTCTAATTTTTCTTTAAGAAAGATTTCCAAATACTTGTAATGTTTTAAAATTAATTTTTATTTTATCACATTAGCAAGCAGAACAATTCTTGCTATTATTGTCTTGGATCTCTGAGATCAAATCTCTCAACTTGGGGAAAAGTTTTTTATGACCTGAAAAATGAAGCAATTTATTAAGAGCTGGGACAATGCAAACTACAAATTCAAGCGTTAACTTTCATCAGAAATGTGATCCGGTACATAAACCATATGCTTATCTTTTGCAATAGCTATCCCAAATTTTTGTTAGGCAGAATGCAAATGAATTCACCATTCAAAGAATGCCACCAGCATTAATAATGCACAAATAAAATATAATCATACCTTTTTCTTCTTCTTACACTTTTCTCTAGAGAGGATGCCATACCTCACACTTTCAGTGCCTCCATTATCAAGCAGGTGAAGCTGACAGCTAAGTAAGATACTATGTTGCGAGGGGCTAAGGCCTAAACTTGTGGATCCTTTCAAGTCACTTTTCCCTTTTTTCCCCGCAGTCTGAAATTGTGCCTTAAAATGGAAAGGGTTATAAGGATCCTCCAAGTTAATAAAAGAGTTCCACAATTTCAAATTTTCAGATTCATTTATGCTACTAGACTCCCATTCATCTTCCTCACAGGAACTTTCACTCCAGGAGGAAGAATCCTCTACTACCTCGCTCTCATTTGACTCTCTGGTAGGCCCTTCCTCTCCCACATTCCCAGCAGTCTGCACAGCTGCTGTGAAATTCCACGGGTCGTATGGATCGGGGCTACAGAAAGAGTTCCACAGATGAATGCTCTCTCCATCTTGGTTTATTTCCGACTCCGAAAGGGAGCCTTCACTGTCAAAGCCATCGTCGTCTTCCTCCTCCCCGTACCAATCCTCCTCCTCTTCCCCGTCGTCTTCATCGCTGTCCTCCCCCGCGCTCTCTTCCCCGCTGCAAGCGCCCCCCAGGATGTAATCGATCAGCTTGTTAGGACATGCCGGTCTCGGCACGACCGGCAGGTCGGGTCCTACGTCGGAGCTGACCTCCGCAGTCGCTTCCCGCCCAGCACTGCCCCCGTCCAGAGGCTGCGGCGTCTTCGCGAGGTCCTGGTGTTCTTGAGTTTCCTCACCACGCTCCTTCGGGGCCCAGGCCTCCCGCAGCTGCTCCTCGACCTCCAAGCTATGGTAGCCGTAATCGCAGTCCGTCTCATCAAGAACGGCTTTGTGCGGCTCCCACGGCACTCGCTGCAAGATCTCGGGAAACTTGGCCCGCAGAGGTCCGGGCAGGGAGCTCTTGTCGGTGCCGCCCAGCACGTAGGAGGAAGAGACCACGCACAGCTGGTGCTCAACGGCCAAGAGCGGAGTCAGGCCGGGAGTCTCCCACACTGGCACCGAAGTCTCCGGCGCGGTGGCGTGGACTTCGGAGGGCAGCCAGAAGAGGGGACTGATCGGACCGGGCAGGAGACGCTGCAGCAGCTGCGACAAGAGCCGCAGCAATGAAAACGGGGCGTCGGGCTGGGGTGCCGGCAGCGAGGGTTGGCAGGCGTTGAGGCGAGGGGCCGCCTGCTCTCGCTCCCTCCGCGGCTCCATGGGCGGTATGTTCCTTACCTCAGCGCTTCCACCCGATGTGAATCGGCCGCTTTTTTCGGCCTGTGAGATTTAGGGGATTTCTAAGGATGAAGCGGCCTTTCCCCGAGCTGGGCCATGCCATCTTTCCAAACGAACGCTAACCGCTCTCGGTTTTTCACAGCACGTTCAGTAAGAGGAATAAAATGGCGGCGACTGGAGAAGAGAAGAGCAGTTAAGGCTCAAGGCGGAAGACCTCTTCAGGAGAGAGCAAACGCGCAGGCGCCCATTTCGTAGCGACGGGGGAAAGAAGGGCAAGCTCTACCCAAAAGAGAAGCTGAAGTGGCAGGCGGGGCTTCCATCACCATCCGGGTAATCTAGACCTCCGTTGACAGCTTGTGATTGGCTCAACCACAGCCCCGCCTCCGGTCGAGAGGGAACGGTGGTAACTGGATATTGCCACAGACCAGGGATTGCATCAGCCAGTAGTTAAAAAAATTAATGAACTATCTGGGGTGGTACAATTAGCAAATTATGGTAAAGTTGTCCTTCGTATTGTTTGATGTAAGCTTTATAGTCTCACTTGACTCAAAATTTGACTTGACCGCTACCTTTGCCAGAAACCATTTAGGAGATAGTCTACATCTATCCATTATATTAACACCAAATTCATTTTCTTCGGTTAAAATGACGCCATCCCCAAGATGTTTCGGGAAGGAAAGGAGAAACCACAAAAACTACTACGAAAAACTGAACACTGGATTTGTTAACTCAGGTTGGGGGAAGGAAAGATGGGATACCCACTGGGGGGAAAAAATTGCTGGTGGGCTTGCTGGCCTCCAGAACTGGAACAGTCCATTGCAACATTTTGTTGCAAAGTCTACTTGTCACCCAGATTTCTAAACCCATTTCTAAGATGGGAGATAAGTGTTTACTTTCTTATTGATATATGCTGCTGAACACATAGGCTGTGCTCATATAACACTCCAAACTATAAACCATGGCTAATAAAGTATTATTGTGTTCACATAATACAGGCAGCCAAAACACACCAGCCATATTATGACTTGAGATGGCCTGCTTCATACACCATGCTAAGTCATAAGGTGTCCTAGCCATTATGATTTATAATCATGCCTTATAGTTTGACATTGTGCAAACCTGTGGAGAAGCCTTTATGAAAGAGAGCAGATAGTATAGGAAAAACATTCCCTTTCCCAGGTTAGTACAAAGGTTAGGCTGCTCGGCAAACAGTAATAAGATAGTACTAGACCTCAAAGGTTGGTTACCTTGGTGGAGCCACTAGAGATAAGCTAGCCTTGTTTCAACAGTGGCAAAGAATCAACTGTGAGATTTCAGATCAAATTCACCATTCTGTTTCTACTAAGTGTGCAGTGTGTGTAAAAGCCACTGTGCAGAGGGAAGTCTGGCATATTTTTCTCTTTGTCTTGAGAAAGGCTAAATCCTTTAAGGCTATCATCCTAGTATACTTTTTTTAAATAAACCCCAGTGACAAAGTAGATATTTGTTTTGTGTCGTTGAGTCAGTGTTGACTCCTGGCGACTGCCTGGACAAGTCCCTGCAGTTTTCTTCGTAAGATTTCAGAAGTGGTTTGCCACTGCCTCCTTCCTAGGGCTGAGAGGAGTGACTGGTCCAAGGTCACCCAGATGGGTTTGTGTCTAAGATGGGACTAGAACTCCCGGTTTCTAGCCTAGTGCCTTAACCACTATGCCCAGATTATTTTGTTACAATCTTAAACATAACATTAGAAAAAATGCTGATAATTTGTTCTGAATATACAATAAGATCGATCTAATAAAAATATGAGAAGTATTTAAAGAATAAGCAACCATTTCCACAGAATATTTTGACATTTTGACATATTTTGATTAGCATGTTAAATGATAGTGCTGATTAGATAAGCACTGATTACATGCTTTGTAATCTCAGAATTTAGTTGGGTGGATTAAAAATCTAATAAGGAGTCAGTGGTAATATGCCTTTCATCTTAACAGAAAAAATGAAAATAGATGTGAAACATGAATTCTCTACATCTGTGACTTGTTTAATTATATCTGCCTTTCCTCAGGAGATTGCTATTTGGCAGCTTATATTATCAAAGCATGCACATTTTCTTCAGCAACTCTTTTGCTGTATTGGTACAAGACTCGTACAACTTTTTATCAGGTCACTTTTGAATTTCATTATTCACTAAAGGTATGTGGATATGAGTAAACATCTCAGAGAATGGTATATTCAGACATAGATACACAGATACACATTGTATGCATTACCAGTTCAACGACTCTTTTTTAAAAAGACATATCAAAGGCCTTGATATCATAGGGTAAGATGTTTTGTCATTTAGTCCTCACTAGGTAATTAAGAAATTCCACTCAATTATTTTAATTAGACATCCTCCTTATGTTCTGACTATATGCTCATTCACTAAGCACCAACTTGCAGTATTTGCAGGATATGCTTAAGAAAACGCATTTCTATTATTGTGGATTGATTACACAAATACCAAATAACAAGAAGAGTACTAATCTTTTTTTTTTCCCCTAGGGACTTGCCCTGAACAAGCAAAAATTCAGTAACTGCAGGTTTCAAGCAAATGTTTCAATATCTCTCTTTTCCCCAGTCAGAAACCTATTAATCAACAGTCAAATCAAGTGCCCAGGGAGGCAAGAAGTGTGATCTATCAGCATCCTTTCTGTGGCCCCAGGAGATCCCTCCAAATTGGGCATTTTTGAAGTTTGGAGGTGGTTTAAGGGACAAAATGCAAAGACTTAAGACACTTATTTTACCACTTAAAACCCTTAATATGCCCCCAAATGAATCTCAACCCTACTCATTTTTGAAGTGCAGATGTTATCATGCTGCATAAAGCCTAGTATGATCCTCAAGCTGATGGAAAATTGTACAGTGGTCAAGAGGGCCACTGGAAGTATCTGCAACAGAAATAAGGCTGTTGCAATAGCCATGCAATCAGTGCTGTAGATGGCTTTATGTTGCTTAGTAGTTAAATTAACACAGAGTTAAGCTGGGATGAGCTTTGTATCAGTCATAATTAATCATCCTATATTCCTACAATAAATAAGCAAATGAAAAAAACATAGATTTGGAATGCTGTGAATGTTTCTGATGTCATAATGACACCAGAACAAAGCACAGGTGATGAGAATCTTTACACAAACCAATTGGGAATGACTTTTCCAAGCTGCAAGAGATAGAAATGCTACTCTTTTAGGAAGATAATTGCAACTTCCTCAACTAATAAGATCATTTTAGCCAGAAATTAAGATCCTACCCAAGAGTTGGGAAGAGTTGTGGTATAAGCTTACAGGTACTTCTCCAGCAGCTCCTAACATTTCCAGGAAAGTTGCAAAATTTCTTTCAGCTGTCATTGCTCTATGCAGGAAAAAAACCTTTTAATTTTAGGACCTTACAAATATACATTTTCTGTGCTTTCTATGCTGCTTTACGCTTGTGTGTTTCCTGTTATATCTCACTTGTCACTGATTATAATAATGTTACACACACACACACCTATACACATATATACCAAGTAGTTTGGTAACTCAGTATGTAACTTCTAAAATCTCAGTGTTTTATTAGCAAAGTGGTTTTATAATTTAGTTAGTTTTAAGTATTTAAAACTTAAATATGTCACCATTTTATTTAGTTTTATTAATCTTTAAAAAATATTTATATCTTTTAATTTGGGTCTTGTAACTTATAAAAATATATCTAAATTGCACTGGCCATAATAAAGATATTACTACCACTGAAGGATCCCAAAAAGATAGAGTCAGATGTTGATTGTTAGAAGCAGAAAAAATGTAGGGTTTTTTTTTATTTTTTTGGTCTTTTGAGTTTATGCTGGCTATGCCCCCTGCCTTACTTGACTTCATGAAAAAGAAATCCTTTGAATTAAAAAAAGGGATTTGGCATATTGTAAAGCCAAATACTACCTTTCAGCATTATCTTCTTTTCTAGAATCTTAGCAAATAAGTTGCTAGTCATATGCAGCCCAGTATTTTATTCTCATGCCCACCTATCCAGAAAGGAAAAATGTAATTTGGGATAAAAGGCAATGTCTTTCAGGGAAGACAGAGGCAATGGCAGGCGGTATTCCAGTAAACTACTACTTGGTAATTATGTTCAGCAACCATTTTGTGAATGGGCAAGTTGCTTCCAGCAGCATATGTCAGTCAGTCTTTATCATGGTCACTGATCAGAATAATAGTACCATAGTATCAAAACAGAGTTAAAATGTGAAACACATCATTTAGCCCTATTCAAAGAAGGGATAAAATGGCTAAGTAATTTGGTGGCAGCTAGGGATGGCAAAGATGGTAAAACCCTATTGCAAACTATTCTTAAATGCTATAAGAGGCTAGGGAGATTAAAGGACCTATTCTGCTGGGCTCTTCTTCAGGCTGCTACTGCAAACTTGTCTGTGTATTCTAGAAACCTGATCAGATAAAAGATATTGAACATGGCATTCATCATAACATGAGGGAGAGTTTGAATGTGAGGTGCTATTAACATCCCTTGAGCATCTCTGTAGAAAAAGCAATATAGGAGGATATGATTCAACTGTTCCATTAATACAGCTTGACAGGGGCAGGTCCTTATATTACATAAGCCTTCTAGGACAGCTAAGGGTAGAATATCAAAATGCAGTGATGTAAAGACATAGCTCTTTCCAAGTGTTGAAATTATGGAAAAATTGAAGTGAAATGACCAAGAAACTCTGTCATTTCTCTAGCCTTCAGTAACCCAAGAATCAAAACCAGAATCACAAAGACTGAAGATACCTGCTCTGAATATTGTTCCCTTTTATATTTATATAAAAAGTGTTTTTTTTTCAAGGAAAATTATAAATTTCTATTTTCATGAAGAAATATTCCAAGAATTTAGCTTCTGTTTTATACAAGAGAATAGTATGAATGAGGAGTGAGATTGATTAGAATGGTTCTTCATGGAATTTTAAAGTATTACAATTTTGTCTAAATATACCAAAACTATCAGGGAAACAATAGCTGGAGTGAGCTAACCATTTTCTGTCCTTACTTTTTTAACAAGTCAGAATGTGCTACAATTCATCCTTTTTTTGTTACTGAGCATTTGAGGAAGTCTTTTAGGAAGATATTTTATTTGCGTTGATGACATGTTTCTTTGAAAAAGCAAATTTATTTTCAACCCTTTAGCTACCAAAATGGATATACCGCAGCCTCTATTGCATTCCATTTCCTTTTATTTATTTCCAATGTCACCATTTTACAATGTAGAAAGACACAGGTATTCATAAGATG